CGAAGACAACAGCCGCGAAAGCCAAGATTACAAGCCTCCACGGAAAGGCAACTCTCGGGTCGCTAAACCTTTTCACAAAACTTAGGAAGTCCTTGCACTTACAACTGTGCTCCATAGCATTTCTGAAACGGTACCGCGACCACCAGACGGTACTGAATTTCCTACAAATAAAAAGCCCCTTCCCGCCCTCCAAACAATCCACAGCCATCCTAAGACAAGTAGTAATGGTAGAAAGATTCTACCATTCTTGATTTATAAATAAATAAGTTGACAGTTAAATTCATGTATTTTATCTAAGTATTAACTCAAAATAATATTATTCTCTTGCTTTACTCAATTCATATTCACTTAAGGTTTATTTCATGGTCCTTCGAGTTAAACAAATTTTATCTCTAATAATTTTTACATTATTATATATGTATCATGATTGATTTTGTGTCACATATTATTCACACCGTTGTATGATCCACTTGTTCGATTATAGTTATATTATTGACATATATTAACTCTTTCTCCTTAAGTATCTCTCTCTCTCTTTATCTCTCAACCCCACCTTAATAAAACTACTTAGAAAGTTCGTAATAAACACCTTCAAATATGAAGATTAAATGTTTGAGTGATATTATGGTAATATTAGACAAATATTCATCAAATGTTTCTGAATAAACACTTTTTCTTTTTGTGCAATGTTCTCATAAAAGTACTATGCCAAAGAATATAAGTAAATAGAATATTTTTGTTTTGTTTGATATAAAATTTATGATAAGAAAAAGAATTATAATTTTTTATTTTATTGATACAAGCTAGAGTCCCTATAGTAAGAGTCTTGACAGAGTTCGACAAAACATGGCGTCATATGATCTGTTCGTTATCGCTGTACTGTTGAACTAATGCAGTCAGTTAATTGCATTAGTGCAGCAGTGCAGCGATAATGAACTGTTCAGACTCTTACTACAGAAACTCTAATACAAGCAACACAAATTTTAATTTTTTTTATTCACATAACTCATTTTTATTTTGACTCAAACTATAAAAATCTAAATATTAAACTATTACTTGCCAGTATTATTCACTATACATAAAACTAATATTATATATAATTGAAATATGAAACGTTATTATTCAAAGTTCTTAGTGTGTTCTTATTGCCTTATAAGTTGTATTTGAAGAATATAAATAAATCTATGCAGATGACATAAAAGTGGTTGTTATTTGTTTTTCATTTCAGATTGTTCGCGATCGGGCGAGTCGCACGCGTCGCTCGCGCGCGTCGCGAGCGCGGGTCGCGAGCTCGCGTCTTGAGCGGAGCGTGTCACGTCCCGCTTAGCTGCTCGGCGATCGCGTTCGGGCAGCATTCGGCAAATCCGGCATCGAATACTACGAATCGTACCGCAAGTCGCCGACGCCAGCACGAGTTTCCCCGAATTGCCCTCTCCCTCGTCACGAGACGAGAATAATCGGCTCATCTCGATTTTACCGCGGTGTAAGCCGACACTGTAGTTTTGCGAATCGATCCTAGCAGTCAGAGGACTTATAACTTCAGATTCTTCGAGTAATCAATTGAGATCTACCGCGATCTGGCCCTTCGGGTATTCTGCGAGTGTCGCAACAGTAGTTTCGCCGATCGTGCGTGTCTCGATCTCGCGTCTCGTTCGAAGCAGAGTTCACCGCGCGCGTGTTCTTCTGCTTTATACGTTCGTCGTACGACGGTCTCACGCCTCCGTATAACTCTTACCTATATCCATATTACTTACGTATGTTTCACTAATGTATTGTCCTATTAATAAAGGGGGGAGGTTCGCGAGGATGAGAATCTGGACAACGCTCATAAAGATTTCTCTTTAGGTGCTGTCTTACCACTCTGAGTGAACTTCGAATTCTATAAGTTAAGCCTTTTCCTAGACAAATCTTTTGTCTCCTTCCATTCGAAATCGCCAGAGCATCTCCCGACGCACCATTGCCGTCCTTTGTTGGTCTCGACTCGGTGACCTAACGTTTCGGTGTTAACAACACCAACTTTGACTCTCGCCCGGGCGACGGTTTCTCGGAGTGAAAAACACATAACGTCTACCAGTCTCGGAAATTTGCGGCGATCCACTTATCACTCACGTGAGGCGGTTCCGGGATACGTTTCGGCCTGAGGCTTTCCTCAGTCGATCCGAAAAATAATTTGGTCCTTCGAGCCGGATCGAAGTGATAGTTTTCGTGGTTATCCTAGAGAGTAACGAACAGTTTAACTCCCAACATGACCGAGGCGCTCGAACATCAAGTTCAATTGCTCCGGCAAATCGACTGGTCGCTCGAGAACTTTAAAAAGATCGGGAAAAACAATTACACTGCCGCGAAAATCCGAAATAGACTCAGTGCTTTGAAGGAGTTGCGGGCGCAAGTTCAAACAGGCCACGCCAAACTACGGTGCACGGTGTCGATGGAAAGCCAGAAGACCATCGAATACTTCAAGGACAATCATTTCGAGGTCTGTGAGGAGCTCTACCTCCGTACCTCCGATTATATGTCCGAATGTCTGGAAGAGGTTGAGCCAATCGTAAGTCCGAATACGTCAGTTACTCAGGACAGCTCAAGTCCAAGCTCGTCCTCCGCATTCTCGGTATCCCATCTTCCACCGATCAGTCTTCCACCGTTCGATGGTAAATTTGAGGAGTGGGAAAGCTTCCGCGATCGATTCACGTCGCTAATTATTCAGAACAAGGAGCTCAAGGACTTCGCGCGTATGCACTTTCTCACGTCCAGCTTAACGGGTCGCGCTCTCGAGTGTGTTCGAAATCTACCGGTGACCGTGGACAATTTTAAAGTCGCGTGGGACACGCTAAAATCGCGATTCGAGTGCAAGCGGAGACTCATCAACGTTCATCTAATGTCGTTATTGAATTTGCCGGTCATTCAACGCGAGTCCGCTCTGGACCTGCAAGGTCTTCGCGATAAGACTATCGCCACGAGAGCAGCGCTCACCAACTTGAAACGCTCTCCCGAGGAGTTATGGAACGACATGCTCGTGTGTCTAGTGTCGCAAAAGTTGGATCCTGTCACGCGAAAAGCGTGGAAGTTAAAAATAAACGACGCCACTACGGTGCCGTCATACAAGTCATTGGATGACTTTCTTGACACGCGAGTTCGAGCACTCGAGGAATGGAAGCCGCCCCTCTCGGCCCCGGAGAAATCAACGAAACCATCGCACGCACAGAAAATTACAAGCGCAACCGCTAGCGCAAAAGCGCCATTGCAATGTTCATTGTGCAAATCCAATCATTTGCTTCATGCATGTCCGCAATTTGCCAAGAAGAGTACGAGTCAGCGTCGCGATTTCGTAAAACAGGACGGCCGTTGCTTTAATTGCCTAAGCAAAGGTCACGCGATTCAAACGTGTGCGAGTAAATATACTTGTCGGCAATGTAAGAAAAAACATCACACGTTGTTACACGATGACTCGAGCTCTTCTTCTCAACTCGATGACGTGACGCCGTCGAGCCAATCGGAAAAGTCCGCAGAAATCAAATCTGCCGAAGTAAATTCGTTGTCGTAAATTCGCCTCCACAAGGCAACCTCGGCGATCGCACGTACTGTTAGCGACCGCTCAAGTTACCGTCAGCGCGCCTTCCGGTCGCTCAGTATCTGTAAGAGCCTTGCTCGACCAAGGGTCAGAAATGACCTTCATAACGGAAAAACTCGCGCAAAGTCTACTGTTAAAGCGACTTCGAATGCCGATTTCAATCTCCGCCGTCGGAGGCATCAAAGTCGGCACATGCCGGCACGCCGCGCATGTGACGATTTCGCCGCGAAACGCATCTACGCCGAGGTTCTCGACGACCGCGTTAATATTGAGCACACTAACGTCCTATTCGCCAAAGCGCGTTCCCGCGGATTCTGTGCTCAGCCAATTTCGGGATCTCTCGTGGGCGGACGAGGATCCCATGAGCTCAGAACCAATAGACATTCTACTGGGTGCGGATCTGTATGGGGACCTCATTCTGGAGGGAATTGCTAAATCGACGGTCGGGCGGCCTATCGCACAAAACACAGCTCTCGGGTGGGTCATCTCAGGGCCTACCGCATATTCCGGCGCTTCAATTCATGCGCATTCACTGTCGTCCGGAAGCGATCGAGCCTGCGATCAAATTTCTTCCCTGCATTGCTTCGGTGATCAGTCGCTCGATCGAGAGCTTCAAAAATTCTGGGAAGTTGAGGAAATCCCTCGACGGGGTTTTATGAGTCCCGAGGATGAGAGGTGCGAAGATCATTTTCGCGCAACTCACTCTCGTCAGCCGGACGGCCGTTACGTTGTGCGGCTGCCGTTCAAAACAAATCCGCCGATAAACATCGGCGAGTCGCGGTCTCGAGCGAAAAGCTGCCTCGCTCACTTATTGCGGCGCCTTAAGGCCCGCTCGGAGCACAAGAAAGAATATTCGGAATTCTTACAAAAATATCTAACTCTCGGTCACATGCAGAACGCGGACCATCTAACTTCACCAAACGCACAGTGCGTTTTTATCCCTCACCATCATGTTATTCGCGAAGATAGTGCGACGACTCATTTGAGAGTCGTATTCAATGCCTCGAGCCCGACCACAAACGGGTCTTCTCTAAACGACCACCTGGCTGGTCCCAAACTTCAAAACGATTTACCCTCCATAATTCTAAAGTGGCGACTCTTTCAGTACGTATACAGGGTGTTAATTAAATAGCGCCCACTAATAGTATAGCGTTATTCCTGACTAAAAATTGAGTCGAAAAGTCCTGAACCATTTTTTTCTACAATGCTCAACGAAGCAGTACATATCGAGTAAAGCTAATCCAATCGGCGTTGTCCTTTAGACGGAAGCACGTCAGTGAGCCGCGCGCCTGGTAGTGTGCGTGAGCGCTCCGCCGCATCGCGCCGCTAACATTGCTATATTCGCACTGCGCTAGCATGCAATATTCTTACGTGCCGTATAATGTGAAAAATGTTCTCTTGCACGTCAGAAGACTCTTCTTAAAGAAAATTTCACAGAACTCTCGTCAAAACGGATTAATAATGCTCAATGCCTAAAAAACCTATAATTTTTCGCTTATAAATTGATTTAAAACTTTTCTTTGTAGATTCAAAACTTTGTGCGTCCTTTTACGTAGGATAGACATACATTTTTTTTTATAATATTTGTCAATTAAATTACATTTTGAGTTATCTTTTCTGTAATTCTCCTATGAAAATTGTATTCTTTAACATTTGATTACACAGATGTTTTTATTATTAAAAAAAATCTATTTCTTAAGAAATTTCTACAGAAAATGTAGGGATATGAAGAAAGCGTATTGTAATAAAACAGAAAACAAGACAAAATTCCTCGTTATCAATGTATGAAGATTTCGACAAGCACAAAAATGTTACGTTAATTTTTTTTCTAAACAATCCGTTTTTTTCAGAAATCTTTGCGTTAACATTTAAATTTTAAAACGAATCACTTAGTGAATCTTTCTGCGAATGGTCTTGATATAATTTGAAGTAGTAAATTTTTTTAAAGAATTTATTATATTAATTACCAAATAAAAGAAATTTAAGTACTGTAAAACAATATGAGAAGGCT